CGTCATCGACCAGGATTTTCGATTAAAATTTATTCTTCGTAGATATTTCACATGATGAATTCTAAGGTTTAGATGATTGTTAAAAAGATCGATTCTCTTCTTTTTTACGTTATTATTGCCATTTATCTTTTACTTTTTTTTGGTTTAACCTCTCGTCATCGATCAGGATTTTCGATTAAAATTTAGTCCTTCGTAGATATTTCACAGTCCGACATAATTTCCAATGTTAGAATTTTAAGGTTTAGACGGTTGTTAAAAAGACCGATTCTCTTCTTTTCTACGTTATTATTGTCATTTATCTTTTACTTTTTTTTGGTTCAACCTCTCGTCATCGACCACGATATAATTTCCAATGTTAGAATTCTAAGGTTTAGACGGTTGTTAAAAAGATCAATTCTCTTCTTTTCGACGTTATTATTTGTCATTTATCTTTTACTTTTTTTTGATTCAACTTCTCGTCATCGACCAGGATTTTCGATTAAAATTTTGTCCTTCGTAGATATTTCACACAATGAATTCGTAGATAATTTCCAATGTTAGAATTCTAAGGTTTAGACGATTGTTAAAAAGAATAATTCTCTTCTTTTCTACGTTATTATTTGTCATTTATCTTTTACTTTTTTTTGGTTCCACTTCTCGTCATCGACCAGGATTTTCGATTAAAATTTAGTCCTTCGTAGATATTTCACAGTCCGATATAATTTCCAATGTTAGAATTCTAAGGTTTAGACGGTTGTTAAAAAGATCGATAAAATGTTTTTCGAAATAAAAACTAGATCGGTAACGAAGATTTTAAATCTTTTCGTTAAAAAAAAATTTGGATTTTATTTAACAAGATTTTATATAATAAGAGTGCAGAAAATTCTAAATTATTATTGAAACATCCATTAAAAACCTCATCGTATACGGTGCGTTACATTCTTATTCAGTTATCGAAAATTCTATCACGTAGTGTAATACATCTTCAATTTATTCGTGCGAAAACATCGAAATTCCATTTGTCGTTTTCTAAAATTGTCGTTGCTTTATAAAAGGCATATATTGTACTTCACTCGGATATAAAGTTTTTGATAATATTGTTTTACATTGCTGAAAGCCATAAATAAGTATATCGCAAAGTATTGTATTTTATTGTTTTTTTTTTTTTTTGTAATAAATCAAGACAAAACAGTTAAAATTATTAAGGCGAAATTCGTATGTATGTATATATATATATTTTTTTTAAATTATATATGTATAGTTCTTCATTAGATAAATTAGATAAATTATATCCGTGACTGTAAGAGATTATAAATATCAACGAAACATTTTAAAGAATTTACAAATATAAAAATTTTTTATATTTAATTAAATTGCACGTAACTCGTTTTTAATTATAATATTTTTATTTAACTATAATCGAAGAGTGCGTGAGTGAGTATTTAATAATTCCCATAATGCGGAAGATCACGATTTACTTTGCAACCGTTATTCCGTTTCCTCCGCTTCCGTGCATTTCGGGAACGGATATTAGTATGCATAGAGAAGTGACCAATGAAGATTCTGTTTACAGAATAGAAAGAGCAATCAGATTACTTCTGAGTTGGAAAGTACGATAAACTAATGTTATATTTTCAACCTTGATTAACCTATGACGTATTAATATCTGTATTGTAATTAATTTTCTATAATTTTAAAACAATTTAATGTATTTTTAATGCATTAAAATATATTAATAAATAAATCAATAATATATCATTTCAATATATTAATAAACAATTTATTACAAAGTAATTTAATGTATTAAAATATTTAGAAAAAAATAATTAAATTATAATATTATTATAAAACATATAGATAATACTTATATACTAATTTTTCTTAGCAATTAGATTGTGGGTGTTTTTGCAAATTCATATTTTTTTAAGCACTATTAAAGAAACAGATCTTTAAACAGAATTTTTGTTTCATTCATTAAATCTCGTAACGAGCATTCGACATTAGAATTTTCTATCTTATGATGATAATATTATATATATATTAATTACGTTAAATACGATATGTATATTAATTTCGAGAAAAATATTATTATTTTATGATTTATCGTCTACAAATGAAATTGAAATAAAATTACAACGAAAATTAACGTTCATATTGTGTAGCAAAATCAGATTGATTAATTATTAACTTACCAGTTTGAAATAATAAATTAATTCATTTTTGTGTATTCATAACGAAGGCAATTTTAAAAACATTTGTTAGAGATTCCGAAAGTACAGATATCTTATTTTTTAAACATAAAGATTTATTCTATTATTCTACATAAATTTGGACTGTAACTTTAAATCTGAAAAACTTTTACAATCTGTTTAAATCACTAGAGATAAGTGGCTATGATGTAAAAAAAATGAAAAGTAAAAATAAAACAATAAACAACAGAAACGTGAAATAATCCCTTCTCTTTCCAACGATTTTGACAACTGTTTTTATATAAGTTTCGAATGAAATACCGATGGAGAAAGTGTCGACTCACCGTGCGAAAGCGTTGCCGATGCAGAATAATTTGCAGTTGGATTGGCAACTAAATCAAATTGGGATAATTTCATGTCCTCAGCGATTGCTACTTGTCGGGCACTGTTCCACTTGTAGATCACGTCTCGTTTCGTATAACCGACTGCAATCAAGAGAATATTTCTCACCTAGTTTGTCGCGAAGAAGCTATAAAAAGTCGAAATTCGTTCGTCGCTGAAGCATCATCTTTCTTCTTTGACGAAACGTCACCCGAGGGATTAGTACTTACGTGTATGTGTCACTGATCTTAAATCTCTCTCATTTCTTCAGCGACAGGTTCACGCAAAAAACCGACAATTAC